CACTAATAAATGCTGAAAATCAGTTCCAATCACTGTTGAAGTACTATCGGGCGGCCACAGAAGCAGGGGCGGACCCAGCACTTGGCCGCCCCCGCGATCGCCCGTACTGGGTCCGTCGGAAGTTTTAAGGTCTTGCCGCCGAGTTGACGTCCGCCGGGAAGAAGAAGAGCTGCTGTCTGCTGAATTTTTTCCCCTTTCTGATCTTTTCATTTGTTTGGCCTTATTTCTAAAAAAAAAAAGGCCCAATTAATTAGCCCAATTAACCGGTTTTGCTTGCAATTGAAATTTGTAAGTCCATTAGCCCAAGCTCACATTCCACAACAAAACCAATTAACCATTGGTCCGGCACTGCAGAGAGCTGAGAGAGGGAGAGACGACTGACGAGTGAGGGAGAAATTCCTATGGTTCAGTAGCTCTGAGTCTTTGACTGTGGTCGGTAGAGCCGTGGAGGACGGTGGTATTAGCTCTGTGGACAATGGGTAGTGTCTGTGAGTCTTTGACCATGCGGTGGACTGGTGCGATAGGCGAGCTGGAGTGGAGGTTGGAGCTTCGAAGGTATTAGCTCAGCTGCTCAAAATTCTAGCCTTTGAAAATTTGAAATCAATATTGTTATTTCTTATTTGCTACTTGCTAGTGCTTGTGAGTTGTGAACCTGTCTGGATTTTGCCATGAATTGTGATTCTGGATTTTGGGTCACTAGGTCCACAGTGCATTCTGTGTTTATTTATTTTAATTTTTTTTTAGTTTTTGTGAATTTTTGATTTGTGAATTATGAGAAAATAGAACTTATGTTATATTATTGTTTATGACTTATAATTTTGAATTGTGTAATATGAATCGTGATTTGGGAATTTAGGGTTTTAGAAAATTAGGGATAAGTGAAAAAATTAATGGTGAAGATGTTTTGCAGATTATGGAGCGATTTTTTCAATCGAAATGAAAGTCCATACCTAGGGTTGTATTTTTTTTTATTTTTTTATTTTTTTTTTTTAGTATTTTGGGTTGTATTGAAATATATTTTCATATGCATATATTTTTTACGTTTTAGTACATTTATATAAGTATCGAATTATATTTTCGGCTATTACCATTGTTGGTTGTCATCGGTCATCAATCAATGGTTTTTGCGACTCCACCCTAGCTGAACCAAACAGCTGGATTCGCCCCTGCACACAAGTATCAATGAGCAACCACTACATCGCATTAAATGCATGACAGCTGTTCAATGTTCATATATAATTTTTGAGAATATTTTTCCATTTTTTTGCTTTTCTGAGTTTTCTCTATCCTAGCTATTATTCTTACAGAACGTGCAATAAACAGACCGCATTATCGAGAAAAGGTATTTCTTTGGTTTACGGTAAGCAAATTTTCTACGCAAGCTGTTGTCTCAGTTATAGCTGACTGCGAGAGGAGAAATGGAGATGAGAATATACTGTGACAAAGGTGATATTGAACGAGGAAGGGTTAAACATTGAAGTCATGCATGGAAGTAATTAAAAATGTCAGACAATGATAATATATGGAGGTCAG